CTTGGATACATGATAGATAATATAGATTTGATTTTACAGATTTTCACTTCATGATCTTGATGGATAGTATTTACTTGATGTGAAAATTTGATTGATCATTTGAGTTTAATGGAAATTTTTGCACCCTGATCTATAGGACTTGTAAGGAGAAATCACTTATTTTGAAAAAAAAAGAGAGAGCAATATGAAAATCTAGAAACGAAGAGTACATATGAAGGGTGTGAGACATCATTCTCATTGTTGAAAATCGTGCATAGAAAAATACTTGTTGCAAAATAAGAGGATAAAGTGAAAGGCCTAAAAATAAAGAGTACACATAGAGGGTATGAGACATCATTCTTATTGTTGAAATTTATCTACAAGAAAAGCTACTTATCCATTATACATATATATATATATATATAAAAGAAGGAAGAAACATAGTGTAAACTTCAAAAATCAAGCCATGAAAAAAGGAAAATGTAGGATCAATATTATTCTTAGATGAGTATTGATAATTAAAATATCTTGTAAATATATCTATGAGTGAAGAAGTGATAAAGATGTGAATAGAAGAAGTGAAGTCTAGATTGTTATTCCAAGAAGTGCTTAAATATTTAAGTACTTGACATCATTCTTAAATACTTGATATAAGAATCTAAAGTGTCTAAAGGTACATCATTTCTAATTGTATGTTTTTTTTTATGTATTGAAATATGATGTTTGGGATTTGTAAATTTTTATTTTTGTAATTCCATTACTAAGGAACTAGTAATGATTTAAGTTGGGGGGTGTGATAAGTCTTCATTATCATGAGTTAATAATTAGTAAATAATATAGTTTTAACCTTAACTCATAATAAATAGACTTATATTTGTGTTAAAATGTGAAAAGTAGTTTTCAGTTGATTAACGTGAATTTTTGGGTAATTATGTGATTTTATATGAATTTATATAATTTTTACAATCTTACTTTTGAGATAAATGAAGAAAAAGAAAAAGAAATAAAAATATAACAAAATGAGGGAGACTCGCTGGCCAATTAGGCCCGCAAGTCGGAAGTGTAGTCGAGAAGTAGCTGCAAGCAAGGGCTCGAGTAGCTTAGACCAATAAGGGCACATGTGCGCCACTCCCCTTCCAAGTCACTAGTGGCCAGCCAGCTGTGGGGCAAGGAGTAGTCGTACACGTGCGAGAAAGGGACTTGCTTTCAAATGTAACATTATTATATATTCACCTGAAACTTCAGTGCACAAGTAATGTGGGACTAAACCCACGTCACACTTTCCCTAGAAAGGGAGCGAGCAACCGACATGGGTTTGAATCCTCCTAAGAGCTAAAACTCATATTTTTTATTTGATTATCGTGACTTTCCTGCATATTGCCAGTGAAGGATTAAGCAACTAGAATTGTTGGATCATCGGTGAAAATCTCATCAACATGATTCGCGGAACATTGTTACTAAAATTACTAAATGATTCGCGATAAAAGGATTGCGAATCTATCGAGTAAAGCATCTCCAATTGATCGATGAACAAGTCATTGTCGGCAAGAAGACGATCCACCCAAAGATGAGTCGCCGCCACCTGAGAGCATACTAGAAGAGCCTCCTCTTGTTGCGGGGACCTAAGGATGAAACTCCTTAACATGCGCCCCACCTCCATCTAGCTCTTCTCCATCGAGTGACAGCCGCCGGAGAGCTGCAAAGCCACCATTTTTCCGCTCTGCTAGGTGACAGCCGCCAGAGATGATTCAACAACCCATTTCATTGATCTCTAGTTTGCAAGGAGATTTAGAAATTGCCCACATCATCCTTGTCCAAGGAGAGACTTTGAGACTGTAGACACTACACGACAATCCTTCTGAACGCTCAGGATTCTAGTGCATCGTCGATGCATTGCCGCTGCAACATCGGAACTCTATTTTCATACTTTCAACTTAATTTTCACTTCATTTAAATTTACAAAGATATACTTCATTCAATTATGATTGTTCTGACTTTTACAGATCTTAATTTGATGAATTAAATCATCTGTAATCACTTTTGTAAGAATCACAAGATAGAACTCTATTTCCACCCAATTCACGTTCGTCCGACGTGATGTCATCCTAACATCCGTACTCTTATTTTGTTTTTATTTCCTAGTATAAAATTCATAGAAAATAGTATTCTTTAAGAAAAATTCTGAATAATTACCAGATCTTATGTTACATCCCTTAATCAATTTATAAAATTACCATTATTTTTGGAAGTTTTACTGAATTATAATTGATATATTTATTCAAAAATACTTCTAAATATCCTAAAATTCATATTTTCTAGTTTTATAAATTTTAAATTTGCGTGATTTACTATACAATGACTAAGTCACGTCATTCACTTTGCACACATGTGCATCATTGATAATTTACTTTTGAGGGTCATTGAATAGCCCCAAAATTAGTTTATCAATAGTATTTATACTCCTATGTTTATTCTTTTAGATTATATTCTGAAATAGCTTAGTACTGTGGTAAGTTGGGAAATCGATCCTCAAAGAATGATAGGTAGAGTTTACTTTTATTTGTTGATTAAAATTGACATCAATAACAAAAATTACGAAGAAGAAGAAATGAGAAGCAAAAGGAAAGAAAAGGGGTGAGATGTGAAACGAACCTGATTATCACATGGGTAATGCTACATGGTCAAAGGGCTTGTATGACCAACTCTAATGCTAATCAAATCTACTTTCTAACTAAAGACATCCGACTCATCGGTTCTTCAAAACCAACCTGATTATCACCATGTCTTCTTCCTTATTTCCACTAGGAGAGGGTGCTAGCTGCTAGTCATGGGAGGGAATCTCATTCAAGGTGAATCACCTGATGATGAACAAACAACACACCAATTGCGAGGTATGGAGCTTGGGACCCTTTGAACCCTATTGGGATGCCCCTCCTTCTCTCTCTAATTCTTACAATGCGTGATTAACCCTTAAATCAACAATTGACCTGCTTCCTCTTTACGTGGACAATGGATCCCCCTTCATGCCTTCTTGTGTGCCTCTTGATAAGTATGTATCTTGATCATTAAATCAATGCTTCCTTTCTTTTGAGTGGGCAGTGGATCCTCCTTCTCCCCTCTTTGAATGACGTCCTCTAAGTGAATATGGGCCTTATGCCCACAACTCTTCATTTTAGTCCACTTTGCTTGCTTCTCCTTATGTTATTATGAGCCTTAAACTCATGATTCTTCACTCCATGACCAAGTGCGGTCTTTGCTCCTTAATAAGCTGTATGCTAATGTTGAACATATGAAGCTCACATGGTTAGAAGACAAGGAATTATATCGTGTTCTCACATGATGTATATACGGTATCTAAAAGTGTATAATCTAATGAGAAACAAATGAAATATGTAAAATGTGTATGAACGTCAATGGGTGCCCTAAACATGAGAATTCATTAGTAAATCAATGAATTTGTGTCTTAAAATCACGAGCTTTGATGTGATATACCTCATATATAATGCATTATTTATGCATTATCATACCCCCCAACTTAACTCATTGCTAGTCCCTTAGTGATGAATTATTCATGAGAGGGATTTTGCATTCTTCTGCTTCATGTTCCATTTTTATGAACTTTAAAATATACTTTCAAATTATGAAGGTCAACAATCAGATTTATGCTCACATATTTCTAGTTTACTTAGTTTCAAGATTAACTTCTGCATTTTGTTCATGTCATATTTCCTTGAGTGATTATGATCATGACACAGCTAAATTACAATAGCTTACTCAATGTTTCTTACTTTCCATGCAGGTAGCTTTCCCATCGACAATTCTTTTAGTTTGCCCTAGTCTCACATGTGAAATCTTCATGGGGCAATTGGGAAATCCCTCTTTTTTGCATGCTTTTGGGCCTTTACACTGCATGTCATAGTAGGTATCATACAAACCTTTCTGGTCTGAATCTCACATGTGGAAGCCCCACAGGACCAGCTAAGGTGCTTACTACCATTATTCACTTTCTATTTCATTTGTTTCTTTTGGCTAGTGTGCTCTTCACTAGTCTAATCTTGCCTCAAGTATAAACATGACTAATGATTCGACAATGCATTGGCTAATTCAAAAGCAGTTCAACTATTTATTATCAAGATCGAATAAGATTCAATTTATTGATTTCAATCCCAAAAGAGAAACTCATGACCATAAAATCAACTCATGATCAATGAAAATTTGATTCATATACACAAGTTCATGAAAATTTATAAATTCTAGTTACATGCACTGCAGACCTAAAACTCATATAAGGGTAATGTCATGCACCTAATGCCTCCCCCCCCCTATAGTTTACATTGTCCTCAATGTAGCATGAGAAGAAAGAAATAAATCACAAATAGATAACGAATCTCAGAAAATAGGTGCAAGAGTGTAAGGAAGTAAAACATGGCAAATCAGTCTAGATTGATGGTGAACAACTCTTGGATGAAGCTTAAACTTCTACGTGAAAATAAGAAAGTGACAACTTGCAAGTAAATTCAAACAAAATGCTAAACATGATGAAATCAAAGAACTGAAAGCAAACAACAAAAAATAAACTGCAGCTATTGAAGTAATCAATGGCAAATAGTATATGGCTCTAGCTGTTGTAGACTAATGGAGATCGAGGCTACTTGCTGCTCATACTCTATGTAAGGCTTTAAGCACTGCCCATTAAGTTTAGATGTTTTACCTATTTTAGGATCTGTTATTAAAACAGCTCCTGAATTAAAACTCTGCACAACAATGAATGGACCATCCCAATGAGATTTGGGCTTATTTAGAAATAATTTTAAATGAGAATTATACAACCAAACCAACTGATTTTGATAAAATGATTTACGATTGATCTTCTTGTCGTGAAATGCTTTAAGCTTGGCCTTGTAGATGTTTGAATTCTCATAAGTTTTATTTTATAATTCTTGTAGTTCCTGCAATTGAAGAACATGTTACTTTCCTACATGATCTAAGGAAACATTAAGTTGTTTTATGGTCCAATATGCTCAATGCTCAATTTCAACAAGTAAATGATATGCTTTGCCATAAATCAGGCAGAAAAGAGACATGCCAATGGGATTTTTAAATGTTGTTCTATAGGTCCAAAGTGCATCAAGAAGCTTCTCGGCCCAATCTTTACCATTAGGCCATATGATTTTCTTCAAGTTCTTCTTGATTTTTCTATTGCTCAATTCCACTTGTCCATTAGCTTGCATATGATAGTGTGTTGCCATCCTATGCTGTACTCCATATTTTTTAAGTAAATTTTGAAAGTAGAAATTATTAAAATGAGACCCACTGATGGCGAGCGGGACCCATCTCCATCAGCTCAAAAGCCACTAGTAATCTGAGTTCAGCCCGATCAATGCGTGAAGACGAAGGAGCCTGGCTTTCACTACACAGCCTAGCCTTTCGGGACAACGACATTCCACCTCCGCGACGACGACGAAGTCGAGCTCACTCATATCTTTCTTTGTACTTTAATGTTGACTTGTTGGGCCTCGCATTTTTGTGTTAGCAGGCCCAATTCTATGTGTGTGTTGTTGTTTGTGTTTCTCTTTCTTTAGGGTTTTATTAGGTCTCTCTTTTGAGGCCCAATTAAAACCCTAAGGGGGGGGGGGACCTATGTGTCTTTCCTTTGGGGCCTCTTTTGGGGCTTATTTGGGTCTTCATTTGAGGCCCACTTAAGCACCGTAAGAGGGCCCTCCTCTTTCTCCTTTTAGGGGAGCTTATTGGGTCTCTCTTTAAGAGGCCCAATAAGCCCCTTTGTAGCCTTTTGTGGCTTATGGGCTTGAGGGCCTCAAGTGGGCCCACCTCCCCTTAGCCCACTTGTGGGCCCCATATAAGGGGAGGTAGGACCCTCCCTTAAGAGAGCACCGTATTTTTGAGAGAGATTATCGTTTTGTGAGTACCTTCTCTGTGATCTAGGATAGGGAGGGAAGGAGGAAGCGGAAGGCCGTTCGAGGACTTCGTTCCTCGTGACGCTGCTGCTCGAGAAGTCCCGCCGCCGCCTGAGACCACTGCCGCCGCCGGCCATCTCATTGCCGCCCGGGAGCTCGCCGCCATCACCAGACGAAACGGTCGCGGTTGCCGCTGCAGCCGCTGCCGCCTCTGCTGGAACCCCGTCACGCCGTCGTGACGAAAGGGGCTTGCTTCGCCTCCCTACGAGCCGTCGCTGAGCACTCCGCCGAAGTCTCTCGACTCCTGGTTCGACTGCTGCCTCTTCCTCCAAAACTCCACCATAAACTCGCCGGAGCCGCCCTCCGCTGCTCTACCCAGTCGCTGGCCGTTCACCGACGAACGCCAACCTAGCGCCGACGTCGGAAGAGACCCTACAGCCATGCTGATGCCAGAACCAGTCCAAGCTCCACACAGGCCCCCGCCGGAGTTTCCCGACGCTCCGCTGCCGTCGCGCCGTTTCCGGCGCTGCTTAGACCAGGAGAGCTCAACCCTCCTTGGTATCGTCGGCCAGATCGTCTCCTTTCTGCTCCACTTCTCAGCGCTGCTAGAGAGGCCGATCCTTCCAGCGATGGTTGGGTCTCCGCCCAACCGCTGACGCTCGGCATTCCCGCCGAAGCGCCGCTGACACTCGGCATTCCTGCCGAAGCACCGCTAACGCTCGGCCTTCTCGCCGAATGTCAACGCTCGGCATTCCTGCCGAGGCGCTGCTGACGCTCAGCCTTCCTGCCGAAGCACTACTGCCGCGTGCGCCCCGCGCACCGGCTCTTGCGGCCCGCGCGCCCACCCGGTGCCACCGCCCGCATGCCCTAGGGCACGCCGTGCGGCTTGCCGTGCGTGCCTGCTATCGTGCCCTTCGGCCCACCAGCGGGCCACGCCCGCTAGCGTGCCCTTTGGCCCCCCTGCAGGCCCACGCCCATGCCTATTGTGCCACACCCTAAGACAACGACTTCCGTGACTCTCGACCAGGACCGACCGTCGACACTGAGCATCGCTCTTCGCCGGACGTCTCTACCTTCGTTGAATCTCCACTCTGTCATGACCTGCCGGACTGCACAACCCCGAAGGTTAGCTCTGTACCCCTTTCTCTTAAGTTTAATTATCTCTCAAAGGGTTTTCTTGGCTCATCTCCTCCACCATCAGGAGAACGTAGACAGGATAGGACGGTTATCGGATCGTGACTTCTGATGCTGCGCCAGATTTGCCACCATTTGTGAGCTACAGCCCTAGGCTACCTCATGATGATTGTTCCGCCGTCTGTCTAGATGTGGACCAATAGGGCCTCACGCTTATCATCGTCGAGTGTTTCCTCAGGTTGTCTTGGGTTGATCGTGCATATTGGTATGCCTACATGTACTTAGGTTATGTGGTCAAACCTAGAGTGTAGGGTCCAAACCTTCTAATCAGATTGGTCCGACTGTCCCATCTCGGGACTCAAGTTTCCTCGATCAGGTTTAGAGGGTTCTCGCCCCATCCTGCATCACCCACCATCACTAATGATAGCATGAGGACAGCCAAATCTAGAAAAAATATTTTGTACGATGAACTTGCATACAATTTTATGATCATTAGTTCTAGTGGGGGTGACTTCTACCCATTTGGAAACATAATCAACAACTAATAGAATATATTCATCACCTACAAAGGAAGGGAATGGACCCATAAAATCGATCCCCCAAAGGTCAAATATTTCTACTTCCAAAATTGGTTGAAGTGGCATCACATCCTTCTTCGAGATGTTTACCATGACTTGGCATGTGGTACATGTCCTACAAAATTTATGAGAATCTTGAAAAATAGTAGGCCAATAAAATCCACATTGTAAAACAATTTCTGCAGTCTTTTAGATGCAAAATACCCTCCACATGCAGAAGAATGGCACATGGTTAGTATGCTAAACTGCTCCTCTTCAAGTACATATCTATGCAGAATTTGGTTAATTCCTAGACGAAATGGTTCTTCCCAAAAAGAAAACTTAAGGTCACTAAAGAACTTATGTTTCATGTTCGTTGACCAACTTGTGGTCACTTGACTTGTCACTAAATAATTCAAAATATGTTCATTCCATGGTAGTGTACATGTATCAACTTTTAATAAATGTTCATCACGAAAAGAGTTGAGAATAGGTAAGTTGTTAGACACATGAAGTCAAGATAAATAGTCTGTGATGTAATTCTTGTTGCCATTCTTGTTCTTGATATCTAAATCAAATTCTTGTAATAAAAGTATCCATTGAATTAATCTCGGTTTAGCTTCTTTCTTGGCTAAAAGAAACTTAATAGTGGAATTGATGTAGGATGGGGCGAGAACCCTTGTACCTAATCAATGAAACTCAAGACCTGAGATGGGGCAATCAGACTGATCTGATAAGAATGTATGGACAGTAGACTTTAGGTCTGACCACCTAACCCAAGTACAAGTAAGCATACTAATATACACTATCAACCAAGGACAACCCGAGGAAATACTTGATGATGATAAGTGTGAGACCCTCTCGGTCCACGTTCGGATAGACAGCGGAACAATCGTCATGAAGTAGCCTAGGGTTGCAGCTCACGAATGGTGATGAGTCTGACGTAGCGTCAAAAGTCACGATCCTATAACCCGTCCTATCCTATCTAGGTTCTCATGATGGCGGTGGAAGTGAGCTGAGAAAACCCTTCGAAAGATAATTAAACTTAAGTAAGAAGGGGTACGAAGTTAACCTTTAGGGCTGCGTAGCCCGGCAGGTCATGATGGAGTGGAGACTCGACGTAAGTAGAGATGTCCGGTGAAGAGCGATGCTCAACATCGATGGTAGGTTCTAGTCAAGAGTCATAGTAGTCGTCGTCCTAAGGCGTGGTGCGGTCGGCGTGGGCGTGGGCTTGCTGGTGGGCCGAAGGGCATGCTAGTGGGTGTGCGTGGCAAGCCGCACGGCCTGCCTCAGGGCACACAGGCGGCGGTGCCAGGTGGGCGCATGGGCCGTAGGAGCCGACATGTGGGGAGCGTGCGGCGGCGGCACTTCGGTGGGAAGGCCAAGCGTTGGCGGTTGGGCGGAAGCCCAACCGTCGCCAAAAGAATCAGCCTTCTCTAGCAGTGCTGGGAATCGGAGTAGAGGAAGGAGATGATCTGGCCAATGATACTAGGGACAGTTGAGCCCTCCTGGGCTAGGCGGCGCCGAAAACGGCATGACGGCGGCGGATCATCAAGAAACTCTGGCGGGGGCCTGTGAGGAGCTTGGACTGGATCTAGCTTGTCGGCACGACTGTAGGGTCTCTCCCAACATTGGTGGTAGGTAGGCATTCGTCGGCGAATGGCCAGTGACTAGGCAGAGCAGCGAATGGCGGCTCCGGCGAGTTTATGGTGGAGTTCTGAAGGAGGAGGTGGTGGTCAAATTGGGAGTCCACAGACTCCGGCAGAGTACTCAGCGACAGCTCGTAGGGAGGTGAAGCAAGCCCCTTTCATCACGACGGCATGACGGAGTTCTAGCAAAGGTGGTGGCAATTGCAGTGGCAACTGCGACCATTTCGTTCGATGATGGCGGCGATCTCATGGGCGGCAATGAAGATGTCCAGTGGCAGCAATTGGTCTTAGGTGGCAGCGGGACTTTTTAGGCAGCAGTGTCATGATGAATGAAGTCCTCAAAGGGTATCGATGGCCTTCCTCTCCCTCCCTACCCTAGGTCACGAAGAAGGTAACTCACAAAGGATAATCTCTCCCAAAATTTGGCACTTCTGGTTGAGGGGGGGTCCTACCTTCCCTTATATAGGGCCCACAAGTGGGCTAAGGGGAGGTGGGCCCACTTGAGGCCCTTAAGCCCATAAGCCACAAAAAGGCCCGCTAACACACAAATGTGAGGCCTCTAAAAGAGAGACCAAATAAGCTCCCCTAAAAGGAGAAAGAGGAGGGCCCTTGTACGGTGCTTAAGTGGGCCTCAAATGAAGACCCAAATAAGCCTCAAAAGAGGCCCAAAAGGAAAGAAACATAGGTCCCCCCCCCCTTAGGGTTTTTAATTGGGCCTCAAGAGAGAGACCCAATAAAACCCTAAAGAAAGGGAGACAAACAACAACACACACACATAGAATTGGGCCCACTAACACACAAACGCGAGGCCCAACAAGTCAACGTGAAAATACAAAGAAAGATAAGGGTGAGCTCGAGCTCATCGTCGTCGTGGAGGTGGAATGTCCCAAAGGGCTAGGCTATGTAGCGAAAGCCAGGCCCCTTCATCTTTGCACGTCGATCGAGCTGAACTCAGACTGTCAATGTCTCCTGAGCTGATGGAGATGGGTCTCGC